ACATTAACTTTTCCCCTTTTAAGCGCCGACACCCCAAAGTGTACTTGCCAATATGAAAGTTTAAGCATTAGATATATAAGTACATAAGAAATGTGTGGCGTATGTAAAATACCCTATAAATGGATATAGATGATAATCTAACTTCTAGAGTAAATTTTGATGGTTTAAAGAAGTGCCTCAAAGAGTACTATATAATAAGATAATAACATTAAAACTTCAATCGGTAAATATTATAACTAATGTCAGACAAGCTATGTTATTTAGCAATATGCATATAGATAAAACTAGAGGACTGCCAAGGAACTCTGTTTTAACAGTTTTGTCCTTCTTAATATGTTTTTTGGCCTTATTTTGCCAGAATCATTTGAATTTTAATAAACAGTGGTAGAACTTCTATTAGCCCATTATGCCATTCATAAGATAATACTATCACTACATTATTTTTGGCATTTTGTAGCTAAAATCACATGAGCAATCAATTCATAATATAAACGATCATGATGAAAAATGGATTTGAAATGTAAAAAAATCCTAGGTATCAATAAAAAAAAATATATCTTATTTGCCATTAAATTTTTACATTTTAAACTAATCAAAATTTTATATTAATCTATGTATCACTTACTTTACATTATTTTTTTAGAATTTTTTTAATGTAACAATTCTTACTTCATCTAATTTCTAGAAATTAGATTAGTATGTCATTATTCGTAAAACAAACTTTCTATTTCACATAGATGAGATTATTGAAGATATAAAATAATTAATTCTCGAATATATGATGGAAGCACTGAAAAATAAAAAAAGCAAGGCAATTTTTTTATCTCACCATTTAAGTTTTTCATGTAAAAATTTTTCAAATTTCATCACTTATTTAAAGTACATTATTAAAAATACCAAATTTTTTGGTTCACATTTTCTTATGCTTATAGCCAATTAAATTGTTATGCTGCTATTAAAATTTTATTTTGCTTGATGTTCTTATAATGAATTCTAACCTGTACTTCCCACAAGAAGGGTGGGTTTCAACATTCACATGTTGTGAATATAACTGTTTAAAAATTTTAAAGATGTTATCAAAAGCATGATAGTGCATGAAATTTCTCAAATCAATATATATATTTGATTATGCTCATTTTGCGGTTCCAACCCATTTTTTGGCTAAATAAAGAATATCAATATTGTGACCCACTTTTGTAACTTTCAAGGATGTAACCACATCAAGCTGAAGCAAGTTTATCTGAGCTACGTGAAGAAAATAGGCAAATTCGGCTACTTCCTTTTCTTTTAATTTGGTGGCAGATTAGTAATATATGCATGTGTCAAAAAATCACAATGATTGGCATATTTGACAGGTCTGCAGCTGATGACCTGATCACTCACAAGAGAAATTCATATAATGTGTATAATAAGAAACTTGTATTTGCAAAATATAGCAATTTTGCCAAATGCAGCGAGCCATTAAAAGCTCATAATATAGTGTGCTTTCTGACAGTTAACCCAGATTCAATATATTGAACAATTACCTATCATCTGGAGCCCAAGCAAGAGATCGTATAGGAACCGTGTCAGCAGTAAAGCATAGCAAGGGCTTTGTATCTAGATCATGAAATAATGATGAGTTTCATTAGTTAATATACAAATAATTATAAATCTAAGAATATAATTTGCAATAAAGCTGCCAACAAAATTGGCATGGTTAAATAATAATCTGTTTAAAAACATTGAAGTTCTGACTACTCAAATAATAAAATAGAGTAGCCAATCATCAAGAAAGAAACCAAAAAAGGTTATTTCTTTGAAAGGAATTAAGCACAGAAACATTATAATCTCAATCAGTCAGATTACTTCTTTTCACCTTCAGAGGAAAGCTTTGAACAGAACTTCCACAGGGCAACCTAAGAAAAAAAAAATAATAAGTTCCGTTATAACTAAACATTTACATGACAGAAAAACTTTCAAATCGTGAAATTTAAAAAATGGAAATGATGATCAATAAAGTGGCTAAGAAAGGAGCTTGTTGAAATATGGTGCATAATGCAAGACACAGGTAAAATGAATATCTGGGTATTCATTTAGTCAACCCATGCCGAGATTTAACCATGAGTGCCCATGATTTCATCAAGGGGCTAAGGACCATATGGGCCGCAATGTCCAACTGCAAGGCAAATTTCACGGATTCTTATAAAACAAAAACCTATTAAAACAAGTATTTCAATTATTACAAGCAATTACGTTCTAGAAATTCATTTACAAGACATTAATTTGGTGATGCACTTTTATTTCAATGAACATAAGCAATCAATAATGATAAAGTGACCTGAACTTAATGTCCAAAATTGTCTATGAAAGAATATAAAAACTTTACCGTTCCATCATGGCATCCGGCTAAAATTAAATCACGAGAGGCTGAAGGAGACCACTCCAATGCAAGAGGAATGCTGTATAGCAAAGTGATAAAGAGCTATTGAGTTATGTAATGTTAAAAGACTGTAGGGAATGAAAGTAAAAGCATATTTGGTACATGTTAAATCAAAGTTCATATGCAAAATTAGTTACGATAACAAGCCCACAGAATTTCCCGATAGATCGGTATTACTTCTCAATATGCAGCAAATGTGGAATAAACAAACATCTGCTGGTGAATTTTAATTAGATGCATATAGATAAATTCACGGATACAAATAGACAAAAAACACATAAAAAATCTAAATAAATATGCCATTTCTTGTGAGCGATCAACATTTACTTCGATGCAAGTACAAAAAAGTCGTGATTGAAGACATGTCATTGGATATGAAACTAAATTCTACAAGAATTCATATTTTTTGAAGTAACAAATTGTCATTACAAGCCAAATTCAGCCACATGGGATAGAATCTTGCTTGCAACAAGGTCAATTGGAGCATGCAACAAGCACCAATTGAATGCCCGATCTAACAGTACACATGACATACATTTTCACAAAAAGAATTTAAAACAAGCTTATTGAAACTAAATTTTCCTACTCCGCACAAAAGACAACCTAAAAGTAAACTCTTAAGCATTATGATTACACATCCGAATCCCGTTTATAACTTGACTGAAAAAATATCTGGTAATTCTACACAATGAAGAAGAATTAAGGATGTATTGAATGTTTGCATATGGAATTCAGTTTATTTATTTTTTTTACATCGTGAACTTTAATGGATCCTCTCCGCTATTACCAAAAATTTAAAGAATTTAAATGTAGGCTTGGAGAACAATAACTACTATTAAAACAGTTCAAATAATTTTCAATATGGAAGAAATGGAGCACCAAAAACAATATGAAAATTTTGGGGCAGCATTAATATAATAAATGTCAAAGAATGAAAAGAATGAAGCCCAAGTAGTTATAAATATCTATGGAGTACAAAATAAAGTCTTATCAATTTTTTCTCCAAAATACACAGCTCAAAGATTTAGTCATTGCTAAATGATAAAACCAAGAGAAGAGGGACAAGCAAAAAACAATAGAATCCCTCGAGAAATTTTATTTTGAAATAAATCACTCATGGGTTTAATATTAGAGGAAACAAGAGGACAGAATTACATAAATGTAGAATGCATAATGATAAAGAAGGCCTCTAAGTCATGTGTTTCATAGCTTTATCTTTGAAGCAACTGTAACACTTTAGTTGACTGCAAACTTCTTACTACTTCTTAGAACTTTATTCAGTGGCCTGTATTTTACAACCAAAACTACTGAAGTGTGTTAGATATAATATAGCTTCTTCGCAAATTTTTTAGAAGAAAAAAGGCCATACTACCCGCAAAAACTTTAAAAAGGTTGATTTTTTTCACAAAATCTCTATTACTTCAGGGATAGTAGTATTCACCACAGATGGATCCTGAATCTCTTTGCAATATTAAACATAACTAACTAATATTTGCTATCTCTTTTATTCTTTTAAAATATATTGAAAATTTACTTCAACAATCCCACTTCTCAATCCATGTCATCGTAGAATTTGCACAACATTCTCGCAAGACAAGGAAAATAGAAAAATGTCAGTTTAACGGACTAAGAATGAAACGGTCACTACAATCAAATTATTGTTGCATTGCAACAAAGATCTATATAATCAAAAGTCAACAAAGTATAACTTCTTAAACCAAGTAAGAAACAAATAAATTAAGCTCAAATAACAGAGAACCGCATATGTTAATGCATAATGGGAAGCATGTCTATACAAATTTGTAATTGATTAACTCAAGGTGAGGAACAAAACTATTGTTTACATTTCATCATACAAAAGTAAATAAATATGTTTCCAAAATTAGATAATGAATTTTCAAAAGAAAAAGGTGAAATCAACTTATTTTCTTCCATAGAATGAAGGTTAAAGTGAAAATCTATACAATATATGAGTTTACCCTTTGATCAACAAAAATATTGATAGAATTCTTGCTTAAAATCATATCTTACATGAGTTGGTTGAATAATCACTATATTTTGTTTATTTATAAAACATGTTTTACCTTACATCCAAGGGTGTTCATGTGTTGTTCACTCCAATTTATATCAATCCCTTTGCATAACTTCTAGTCATGTTTTCAATCTATCTTTTTTTTCATGTTCCTTGCATGTAAATTCTGTTTTTAAACATATATATATATATATATATATATATCTTATCTCGTTTGTGCGAATATACTTTTACTTCCATATGCTACTCCAATACCCTCTAACATGGTCATCTTGTGCCCTGCCCTTCTTTAACTTTGATCAAACATCCATCTTTATGTTATTCTTTTCAAACTCAAGTTGGTAGTCGGGGATATATTTTATCACCAAAAAGTAACACCCACAAACATAAGCAGTCATATATGATTGTTAGACACTATTTCTTACACTATTGGATATCTTCTTACCACAACATCCTCATAACTCCCGTTTGTTTTTAATATAAGAATTTATTTTCATAGGTAGCTAGTAGCTTCATTATCTATATGCCTTTCTTTTAAAAATACTATATAAATAATTCAAGATGTACTAATCGTGCTTTAGTGTAATTTCCTTAGTATTATAATATTACTAATTTTCACATCTATTAAATCCCATATCATATATTTGGAAGCCATTCTACTACTCCCAATCCCCTTGTCTTTTAATTTTTTCCCTATTGTTCTTACCTTCAAAACTAATAAAAATAAAAAATAAAATTAGGCTTGTCATCTACAACAAATATACTCCAAAATATTTCATTATTATAATTTATTATAAGCACATCTATGATAAATAGATTAAATGGATCAACAATGATCCTTGATTGAAAATTTATATAATAGCAACTGCATTTTCACTTCAAAATTTTTTTCCCCCTTCAAAGATTTTTAATTGATATTATTTGTTATATAAATGCCTTAGTAATAAAACAAAATCATGTCATCACATGCCAAGCAATGATGGACAAACCTAATTTCCATCTAAAAAATATTGTTACGAGGAACAATCATAAAAGCTTAAAAAAGGAAAAAAGCAATGCCAGAGACATACACATTGTTCTCCGTCCAAACATTCAGCTTGTATATCTTATCTAACTTCACAGAAGGTCAATATGTACATCATCAGGGATACAAAAAAAAAATCACTTTGAACAAGTGATTTTTCACTTGTTCATAGAGTTAAGATCATGAAATGCAAGTGATGATAATTAAAAGGTTAAACTATCAAAACTGAGGTGAGAAAAAAAGTGAAAGTTGACTGCCACGTTCCAGTAAGCTCACCTTTGCCTTTGTCCAAACTTCAGCTTCGAGCATTTGAATACAGGTTGCAATTTCAAAAAGCGAGGATCAGTACCCTTACTGTGACAACCAGTATATAAGAGCTTGACCAAGCCATGAACTGGAACTTCCCACCTGCTCATGAAAATAGAATAAGATATTAATTAATAAAAGGCACCTGAATGCTAGGGTGGAGAAGAGCGATGTTTTTTTGCATATAGAAGATAACGATTAGATAATAATAGTACTAAAAACATTGTACATTTATACACAAGTCAACAGTATTTTACCCAATAGTATAAAACTGCAAATCCAAACTACTATAGTAAGAAAAGTCAACAGTATTTTACCCAATAGTATAAAACTGCAAATACAAACTACTATAGTAAGACGGTTCTTCCCATCAAGCTACTAGCAGCATGAACAGATTAAAAAACGGTATTTTTATCATAGTTGTGAAAGAAGACCGATCATTTTGATAGACCATAGGTGAACGCCAACATTTAACCCATATAATACGACATGCAACCAACTGTGGCTATGTCATTTTATCATAGTTGGATTAATAATCTTTCTTTATCATTTATCAAAAATTCTGGCAGCTTCTGTCACTAAAAAATAAAACATGAATCAGATTGCAAAATATTAATCTTTGGTATGGCATCACCCTTAGCTATTCAATTTGAAAAAAGTGAATTATCATCAATAAATTCTAAAATGAATTTAAACTACAAAATTATTAATCCAAGTATCTGTTCAATTGTGGCTATGCCATGACATACTTCAAATAAGCTAGAAACTTCAATATGAATGAAAGAATCAACATATCTATTTTGGAGAAAATTAGGAAAAGATATTAGATTAGTGTCATGCCTATGTTTAAAACATGTAAAAGAAGACTGGAGAAATGGATAGAAACATACACTTCCAAGGAACCATTACCCAACAAAACAGCTAGATAGCCCAGATGTAGTTTGGCATTTATATCAACTGTATCAAAAGGTCTCCATTTCATATCCCAAGCAACTTTTCCATTGTGAGCAAGGGATAACACTAACCTAGGAAGAGCAATACCTTCAGGAATAAAAGAGTGATCTTGAACTAAATTCTCAGTTACTGCAACAATTTTTTGACAATCATCAACATGACTAGGTAGAACACTGCCCTCCAAATAATGATTTTCTCTGATAGGTGATGAACCTAAAATAAAAGAGAGATTCCAATTTAATTTATTTTTCAAGCTTATATGCAACTTAAACCTCAAAACCATCACACTATTTAACCCACCATTTGTTTTAATAGCCTGATCATTGTCATCATAAATGATGATGGCTCCATCATTAACTTCACTATTCCAATCCGTTAAACAAGATTCCATACCACATCCAACATCTTTGAAAACTTCCTTTGAAGCCTTCTCTGTCACAACACCTTTTCTTGAAGTCTCAGATACTGTTGAAGTAGGCAACGTTAATAAGTTCTGAGATAGTTGAACAATACTGTGCTCACTTGGAATTGAACTCTCCCTATACCTCCTCAGCCCTGAAGAAAATGATCCAACCTTTGCATTTGAACCAGGTGGAAGAAAGGAAACTTGCGGAATATCAGAATTGTCAACATGAAACTGAGAACAGACATCATGTATTGGCATTACACTACAAGGAAGTGTTTCCCCTTGCTCATTCAGATCACTCACACCATTAATTCCCTTCTGGAAATTCTCGATGCAACTTCCAACTGAAATAGGATTAGACCTACTCAAAGTCCCAATATCGCCTGTAGTGAAAAGTGATGATGAATGTTTGTCATCATGGGTAACTCCACACCCATTAGAACTTAAAATTGGATACTTCCTTGGTCTTCCTCTGGGTCTCGGTGTCTTTGCATCAGAGGATTTTCTAGGCCTCCCTCTACTGTTTCTTGCTTTATCTATGTAATTTCCAATTGAAATAGGACTAGATCTGCTCAAAGTCCCAATATCGCCTGTAGTGAAAAGTGATGATGAATGCTGGTCACCATGGATAACTCCAGACTCATTAGAACTTGAGATTGGATACTTCCTTGGTCTTCCTCTGGGTCTTGGTGTGTTTGCATCAGAGGATTTTCTAGGCCTCCCTCTACTCTTTCCTGCCTCATCAATGGGATTATCAATATAATCAAATACTTGCTTATTGCCACCTAAATTACCTGCACTATATGAGTTCTTAAGTTCCTCATTCGTGTAAAATTCATTGGACATGCAGCACTCATTTGAGATGGCATTTTCTCTCAACGAGAATGGCCCATATGGACCGTCTATAACCGCAATATTACTACCTTCAATAATCTCATCAGGAATTGAAGGAGCAGTAGTTCTACGCTTTACACTACATTTTGGTACACAAGAATCCTCATTACCCTTCTTGTTATGTTCCCGTCTGCGACGCACAACTTTAGGATTAAGTGATTCCTCCTTGTCAACCAAATGCAGAAAGCACCATATTTGAATGAAACCTCTTCCAGTCAATTGTTCGCCAATCTTGTGATACTCAGAACCAGTAGGGTGAGCAGCAATTGCAAGATACTAAACATCAAAACACATGGAAGTTAATGGCAATATACAACAACAATAACAACAATAAAGCCTTAATCCCACCAAGTGGGGTCGGCTACATGAATCCTTCTCCTCCATTGCATCCTATTTAGTGTCATATTTCCATTTAATCCTAATAAATTAAGATCATTTTTTTATGATAATATAAAATAATATATTTTGAATACAAAAGAATAAAAATTGAAAAATAAATACAATCATTAGTTGCAATCTTAACTAAATAACATAACAAACAGTAAAGCAATGGGCACATACGAAGAAAATAATTGTAACCCGCAAAAATAATTTGCTTTAAAAATCACAACAAATATTGGTTTAGGTTTATAAAAGATATATTTCTAACATGCACTATTTAAAGCCCCATAAATTAAAAAAATACATATCTTTTTTATTATTTTGGTGGTTTGCATCTATATTATAGTTTGTTATGTTTTTTCTTAATCAGTAATGATACATGAGCAATCTGAAGAAAGAAAAGGAAAGATTAGTACGGTTTTTACAATTCGTAGAAATTCAATGAACTTCATTGTCAGATTTAAAAAAAATTTATATTTTTAAAATAAATATAAAGTAAGTTGAAATTAGAACAAATTTGTGAAATAAATTTAAGAGAAATAACTCATTGAAAAATTATTAATGGATTAATTATTAAAAAATAATATTTCTAATACAAATCTAAGATTTACTGAAGCTAGATTAGTGAGTTAATTAAAAAATTTTATGAGGGATTATTTTACAAGTCGTTATACGACAAATAAAATCACTGTAAATAATTTGAGGATTTAAAAGTTGTATTTTTATCATAGTAGTCTTAAGGATTAAAATCTCCAAGAATTTATGTATGTTTAAGATATAGGTCATACATCCCGCCAAAAGAATTAAGGAATGATTGTAACACGAAAAAAAAAAATAATAATAATTTATTGTCAAATAAAATTAAAGATTAAATGTAATGATTTATCATTTTAGTTACTTATAGGTTGATAATTATAAATTTGTTCAAATAAATGAAGAATTAAAGGAGCCTCTTAGATGTTAAATGACTACTAGTAAAATCTATTAAATATAGATCAAATTTAATAAAAAGTAAGATCTTAAGCAAATATATTTTCATAAGTATTTTATTCTTTAATTACGTTATAGAAATACAAAAATTTTAAAGAGTTAAGAAGGAGAGTGAGAAGGAAATATAATACTTGCACATTAAAGTTCAAGTGAGTGTTCTTACTTCTAAGTTTAAGTAGTATTTTTTCTTTTACAAGACCCATTACATGAATGTTATAGATAATACTTAATTCAATTGCAAAATTTTGTTTTGAATCATCTACTTTTTAATATTATAAGTCAGATCCAGTGCATAATGACTGATAGAATTCACCCACTTATAATTAGTTGGGGACGACAAGGTACATGTATGTGTAAATTAAAAATTAGAATTGATATTAAAATACCTTGATTGGTATAATTTAGATGTTATTCACGTGATTTCTGTAAATGAAATAGTTCAGAAAATATGTCGTATCGTGGGATATTTCAAATATTTTTATGGTTAATAATAGAATCATAAAATGTCAATTATGTTTATATTGATTCATTATTTTCAACTAGCACGCATGTTCTTTTCTCCTTCATTACGTAATTATGATTTAGAAATATGAATAATCATTGGTTGTTGATAGCTCACTATGATTTAAAATAATATTTTCAGGTTATAAATTTATAACAAAAATAAGTAGTTAGAAAGAAAATATGTATAGTAGATGAGGTCAGCATAAAGTAAGGTAAATTTCTAATTGTATTAATTTTAATTCTTTTCATTAGAGCCCTTTCGAATTTTTTAATAATTACTAGTTAACAATAGTAATTAAAAATTCAATTTCACAGCCAGACTCATGGTTCTCCGCTTAGAAAATTTCAAGCCACCAAGGCCAGGTCATGGCACACTCAAATAACTTCATTTTCCAAATGTTAATCATCTGCATTTAACTTATAAATATTTTGCAGAAGCATAATTACTCATTTAGTATATTTCAACTTCTTTTTCAAATTAAACTGAAATAATAATGTATCAGAGACAATGTTTGAATTTTCATTTTTTTTTTAGGTAATATTAGCAAAAATTTGCAACAGATCTGAGCAAAAGATACCAGCAAACACCTTTTTTTTTTTTTTTGTTCTAAAAGGGCTCCAAAAACGGTACCAGCAAACCCCTTTTTTTTTTTTTTTTTTTTTTTTGTTCTTAAAAGGCTTCACAAACTACACAGAAAACACCGGAAACTGGAAATTGCAACATTTATGAAATTTAAAAAACTGCAAATTTTATAAAAAAAATGGGCATAAGGACCATTGAGCAATTGAGATTACCTCACACTTAACATCACAGCCAATGTTTTCATAAAGCCTGGGACACCAATCCATAGCCCAAACAGATCCTCCAACATGCAATACAAAATCATCACTGCAACATTACGCCACTTTAATTTTACAACATATCCATCGACTAGCAGGGGAAAAACTAGTAAAATCATTTAATAATGAATTGCAACAAAGATAGCTTAGCAAAAAACATTAGAGCCTATCTGGAATCACTTTTTGTTTTCTATTATTTTTTTAGTCTATTTTATTTTTGTTTTGTTTTTATTTTTGTATCTAGAAAACATGTTTGATACTGCTATAATTTATCTGTTTTTTAAAATTAAAAATACAAAACATGTTTGATCGGGTATTTTATAATTTTTTTAAGAAAATGCTATACTCGCATGAGACATGTTGACATGGAGGCTGGCGTGATGCGATCATGAGGGACTCATTGACGTGAGAAATTTGCATCGGATGACCATCTCGTGAGACTCGTTGATGCAAGCCGAAGGAGCTACAATGGGAGATCGCAAGCCGGAGGAGAAGAGGAAGGATCGGCCGGAGGAGAAGAGGAAGGAACAAAACAAAGAATCGAAGATGAGTAGCAAGAGGAGAGGCTCGATTTTAAGGCATAGCTCCGAAAAGATGTTTTTGAAATAGGGAAAACACAATTTATATATTTTTTATGTTTTGGAAACATGCCTCATGTGTTTTAAAAAAAAATTAAAAAAAACGAATAAACAAACACTTTTTTTTTCTTTTTTCTTTCAAAAAAATAAAATAAAATAAAAAACAGAAAAAGATCCCAAACAGGACCTTAAATAGCCTTAGTATCTACATCCAAAGGCCAACTCATAAGGTATATCGCTCACATTTTGATGTGTATCAAAATTGATGCACTGAATTACGGTAATGCAGGGAACTAAGAAAACTGGAAGTATGAAACTCTCCATGATACCCATATGCAACACTCACACCTGATGGTTTCAAAAATAGAAAACCATGCACCTCCTCTTACATTATAAGCAACTATTTTAAAAGAAATGTCATAAGCAAACACATCTTAGGAAAAAGAGAACTATCATCTTAGGAAGAGACAAATATAAAAACTGCTGAAAAAAGTTAAAAGAGAATTCAGAGTGAGCATGAACAGAAGACTTCATTATTTTAGGGAAGACAAATGAGAAAAATTCATGGACAAGTGAATTATCCAGTAGCTTATGTTTGCAACTACAACCAACATGTGAGCATGAACAGAAGACTTCATTATTTTAGGGAAAACAAATGAGAAAAATTCATGGAGAAGTGAATTATCCAGTAGCTGATGTTTGCAACTACAACCAACAATCAGAGAATATTTCCAAGCAAGAAAATAGCACAAGAGAAAGGTCAAAGTCACCAAATCAGTACTTTGCTTTTGATATTTGTCAATCAATAAAATATCAACTACAAAAATTAAATTAAAAAATAAGCAACTTGCAAGCAGTTGTAATTAGAGGACGTTTAAAAAGAATGGAAAAAATGAAGAAAGACCACATAGTTTAGGAATTTTAATGCCACTTTTCCTACAAGCACAACAAAAATTTTCCTAAACAAACAGTTCGAGTTAATTTATGGAAAAATGCTAAGAGATAATCAGGAAAATAGGTGCCCTTCATAATCATCGTGTTTTTTCCAACTTTAGTATTTATTTGTTGATGTTGTATTGTAGTTCCATTACTTTCTATGAAATAAAGTCATCGGTACCTTCACGATAAGGAAGAGATTACAAATGTGTTGTTCATAATTATCAAGCAATAGAGTTAGCGCATGTGGAGTGTTGGAATTTGAATTGCACGTTTTGTGAACAAATCAGAATTGTGACTAGTGGTCTGGATGCAAATACGAAGAAAGTTTTACCAAATAAAGCCCTAATACATTAAGACTTACAATTCATTTGAATACTAAATCTTTTCAAAATCAAGCTTTCTTATAAGTGCCAACATATTGAAACGTGTCAACTTGTCATTGCCACCAAAGCACAACATTAATCAACAAAAAATGATTTTCATGGAGATAGAACAGAAGGAACAAAAGGGAAGGAAAAAATTTGAGCTGTGCATTACTAAACCACCACTATTGGCTAGAGTTTTAATTTGAAAAGTACAGTTTTCAAAATAGCAAAAAGACTGATATGATAAGTTTGTTAGGTAGGAAAAGCTAATATGGCAAACATACGAAAATTCATAGCAAACAATGATGAAGGGATCCATTCAGTCTAGAGCGCATACTTTTCAAATGTTGATCCTGTACTAGGTAATTTATCCACCTGCATCATGAGGCAAAAAACGTTTTGTAAAAATAGAGCAGAAAGTAATCATTAATAGAAATTTCTGCAATGCTCTGTAATAATAATAAACAATAAGAAGATATAATTACCAAATTGAAATCGTTCTTTGGAACAGCTGCTGATGAAAATTGAGGTAACTTTATCCCATTAATGGCATCTTTTGCCTCAGCAGATTCAGTCTGATAGGTAAAATTGACTGTTTTTGACTTGCAATGAAATGGCATCCATTCACAGAAATAAAATTGCTTCCATTCTCTGCACAGCAAAGAGCAAATATTATTAAGAGCAATAGTTGCTGGCTTTTATTGGACTTTTTCTTCTGAGTATATGGCTATGCAATCTAGTAAGTTGCTTGACAGTTGGACGACTACTTAGTAAATTATAGCATTAGGTAGCATAATTTATGGTGCTTTAAAAGAATAATATCACATCTGGCATTTGATCAGTTATGAACATGAATAGCAGATTTTGTGCAGAGTTGATGATGACAGAATTCCCATGAAAATTCGATTTATATTTGTGACTTACAAATATTTTGGAATCATGTGGAGTTATTTGATCATATTATTATTTGCTATAAATTTATCATTTAATAACTTGTATTTTTTTTTTACTTCTACCCCATGCATGGCAAAAACATGTGACAGATGCTTGAGAGAAGACGCGAAACCAAATCCTCCCAGCTTGTAATCTTGAATTAACTATATTCAAATGCAGCATACAAGTCAAAGGGGGCTAAGACACGCACACAAGCACAAGTTAAATGCTAGCAAATCACATTGAAGACTTCCCTAAATGCACCGCATCCATGAAAGAATGATTTTGCAGAATTTGAGCAAGAGGAATGAATGCATCTAAACAATAGCATACGCATCCAAGCACATGCACATACCCATCATGTGGTTACTAACCCCCAAAACTAAAACACATCCATAAATTGGATCATAGAAGCTTATGTCTATCAAAACCCATAAGCAAAACTACCACAAGATTGTTGAAAACTTACAACGACGATCACTTACACACCTTTTATAATTAGAAATGGAAGAAATTACACATTTTATATTTAAAAAAACAAAAAATGTGTTGGTTAGAAAGAAAATAAATAATGAAATTATCAGCAATTTGCACGTTAAAATACAAAGAATTAAATTAATAAAAAGTGGATTTGGTTAAGAATAAGAAATTTTAATGTACTAAATAATAATCATAGGATGACAACCCCTAAATCAAACAAGGTGGTAAAGTACGGTTGCATTAAAACCTTAGTGTGACAGTGTTGCAGATTCTTTTTATTGCCATGAAAAACAAATTAAGAAAAATGAATTCAGTGCATCGTGTAAGGATTCAAGAGAAAAACAGGTTGCAATTTGAAACTTATAAATCACTTTCATCTAGTTCTTACCATGGCAATTATGATTTTTTAAGGAAACACAAAGGGATATGAGAAAGTAAGCTTTTTTAATCATTTAATTTTCTAAGTAATGCGTAGAGAGAAACTTTTACCTCACAAAAACTATCATGGAATTGAACCGTTCAATCTCACTTGTCTCAAAGCTCTCCTCTTTAGTTTCATTGCATAACTCTGAGATAACTTCCATAATAGCAAGGAAGTTCTCCACAGAGGGATCAAATGTTAAGATCGGCACACCATCTAAGACTTCGAAACAAGAGGTCCTCTTGTGTATGATTTTTGATCCTTCGTCGCTGGCACCAACAACCTCCATTTCAACCTTTCCCTATCACGTATTGTCCAGCTGTCCTGAATATGGTTGTGAATATGGTGGCAACACCACGAATAGATAGTGTGACTTCATAAATTTGCATAAATCAAAATATCACCTCCACAATTCATATACAACTTATCCACCACATTAAAACATCAGAGCTGCAAAATTAAAACAACATCCATGCAATTTATCCACCAAATAGTATAAAAGAGTTAACTATTACATCCATTCATCCTATGAATCAAAACCCCATAACCACATTGAAAATATACTAATGGAACACCCATAAAGCTCCATAGAAGACAATATGAATTAAATGATAGCGGATCATACAGTCATTAAACTTGCAATAATGAGAAGATAACTTCACATTAAACAGTTTTATGGGTGAGTAAAACAAGTTCTCCAAATGTAAAACAATAATAAAAATAATGAGCAGCACTAAACTCAATAAGCAGTGCTAATTGTACAGGTAACAAAAAAAGGTAAATCAATATTCAGATGACAAATTTATCTGAAATTGTATGTATAATATATAATACAAGCAATAATAACAAGAATTCATGAAGAGGCAGATTCAATATGCTAAAAAAACTATCAAATCACATATGATGCAAGGTGCCTACTTTATTTTCTATTATTAAAAACCAAAATTTTACGTGAACAATCTCTTAGCGGCGAAAACATATTAACAAGCATTGAATGAGAAACATTCACCTGAAATATCAATCTATAGATTTGTATGCAAGTAACATGAAATTCATCACATTCATTACAAGCATTACATCAGATAAATGGCATGCAACTATAAAGCAAATGCCTAAATGCGAGATTCGGATTACCATCGGCAAACACAAATATGACTTGTCACGATTTACAAGACATCAGTAATTATTATGTTCCATATATTGATTTTGATGGGGGAGATAAATTAACAACTAGTCATCCTTAGGGACTGTTTGGTTGCAGGTTTAAAGCAGGATTTATGCCAAATTGCAAAAAAAGAATCTGTTTTGCCTTAAATCCAGAATCTAGTAAATCCCGTTGGAAGACTAATTTACAAGATTTAGAGAAGCTAAGGCGCGTGAAGGCCGGCAGAAGGGGGACAAAAACGAGTGTTACCTTTCTCCAAGGTTTCTGGTAGGAGCGGAGCGGAAGGAGGAGGAAGATGAGAGTTTCAGAGGCCTCTGTAAACCATGAACCCGTCGTTGCCTTCCCAGCTAGCTATGATGGCGACGGTAACACGAAGGTTCGTTCATAAAGTCGACGGTTTCAGGCGAACCGGGAGGCAGAGGGATATAAGCTAGGGTTTTGGGCAGAGCGGGAAGAAGGAGATCGGTTGGTGGTTTTAGTTTATTTTGTTTTAATAATTTAATTAACTAAAATAAAATAATTCATTTATATATTGCTTATAATTAGATAAATTTATATATAATTATTTAATAACTAATTAATGAATAAAGTTATATTTCAAATTTTAAATTATTTAATAAAATTTTGTGCAATTTTTTATTTATTTAATTAATAATTAATTAACATTAAACTATTGTTTAGTAACTAATACATTTAGATAAAATTATTAATTACAAATTTATATAATTAGTTATTAATTAACATGAATACCAATTTTATGTATTTTAAGGTTTTGGATAGCCATTTATATTTTTTTTTAATCTTTATTTTTAGCTTT